GAAAGAAAGAAAGAAAGAAAGAAAGAAAGAAAGAAAGAAAGAAAGAACAACTGGGTTGGGGGGGTAGATCCCAGTTTAGTGTCTCACTTTCTTTCTTTCCCTCCCTTGCTGTCCAGTCAGGCAATTTCCTCAGGGGACCTCAGTTTGCCTATCAATAAAATGAAGCCGCTACAGATCATACCCAAGCTGTGCTAAGCCCTGAATTTGTAGAACTGTTCACATAAAGGCTAAATAGAGATTTCTAGATATCTCGTGTTTCTAGTTAGAGTTGATGACATTTGTTATGGAAATAATAACTAGCCATTCTGAGGAGAGTCAGTCTGCCCAGGACATGCTGTAAGGTGCTCTCAAGTGTTGGAAGACCATGTGAGGATAAGGCAGTGTTTGTAAAGACTGGAATACACGCATGGCCTCCTGGCTCAGCAGATTCCAGGGCAGGTAAAAGAAGAGTTTCCTAAGCGTAAAAGAGGTTCCCTTTCAGAGTAATGAGACTTCCATCTTTGGACGCATTCAAGATGAAGCTCTGCTCGGGATGGAGCACAAAGTCGTCTCCTTCAAGCTGGGCGAGGCTCCTTCCACATCTGGGATCCCATTTCTTAAAAATGACAGACCTGATTGGCCTGTACTCATCCCTCCAGCTCTCCTTCTCCCCAATTCCTCTGGATTTTGGAGGTTTCACCACGTTCATAACTGGGAAACCTCCGGGGGAAACCAGGGCCTCAAAAGTCCCAGGCCATGGGGAGCTTCCCGAAATAGAGCGATAAGGTTAAGCAGTTTTCCACATTATTAGACCTTTTCATCAGCAGCTCTTCCCATGACCTACTAACTCCCATAGAGAGCGTAAGAGAGAGCTGCAAAGGTCTCTCTGCAAAGGCTATTACATCCTTCCCCACTCTCAGAATCACCGCACTTCCTGTGGTCTGTCAGTCATCCTCCAGGGCAGGAAGGAAGCAAGGCAGGTCCCTGGCCAGCATAGAATATTCCAAACGGTCTGACTCCCAACCCAGAGACCTAAGGTCTGTGGTGGCCCAGCCACTAATGGTCAGGATGGGGAACCTCTGGCAGGCCACTTCCTCTCTCTGCACATTTTATCTTGGCTTCTGAGAGGCATTCTGGGTTACACGAGCTTCTCTAACTTTCCTTCATCCTCCAGTAGGTGCGGAAGTTCAGGATGTCTTCCGTGTTGCCCATCTGGTCACTTTTTCTTTATTTTTAAAGCACGTTTAGCCTGGTTAAATGGACAATAGATACCTAATATAGAATACTTTAAAACATGTGACAGCACCAAGAAAGCTAAATCGCACATCCCACAATCACCCAGAGACAACCACTGTTGAGTTTTACGGGCATGCTTTCGACCTTAGCTTGAAGCATGCTCACACAAGTGCATATGCCTGTATCTTTGAACTGCTGTAGAATTAGATCATTCCCAGTGGTCTGCATTCACTGCCAGTGCTTCCACAAGTACTCACTCAAATGTTTCTAGGTGCGGCATGATCCAGCTGCAATCATTTTTAATGACCTGTGGGCTTGGTGACAGGGACCTCCCGAGCTGTCCCACACGGGGGGACATAAGGACTGCCACTCTTTGAAAGTTGGACTCAGGATGTTCGACCTGAATATCCAAGAATCTGCCCTTCAGAAAGTTCTTTGGGGTTTTGTAATGCGAACAGCTGTGAACCCTTAAAAAAAATTCAGTTCTACAATTTTCAAAGACATATGAACATAGAACCTTTGAAAACTCAGACTACGTTTTGAAGAATACATTTCTCAGAGACACGAACATTTCAAATAAAACAGAACGCTCCCTGCCGCCATCCTTGCCAAAGGAAGAAACAGCTATTTCTGTACTAAACCTTGGTGAAAGCGTGATCTTGGCCTGTTTTTAGCACTTAGAGGACTAACCACCAGACTCTGGGGACTGAGTTCTTTCTGCATTGTTCCGTGCCCCTAGCCCCGCCTGGTGACTTTTGTTCAGATTAGTCTACTCAAGCCATGTAGTGACCAACAGCAACACATGGAAAGCATGTCCATGGGCTTCTGATCCAATAGCAGCTCTTGCGAGCTGAGCAGAGAGATAGCCCTACAGCTGCAGGGCCTCGGGGCTCAGCCCTGCCTCCACAGTGACCGTGCTTTCATTTAGTGTCCAGAAGCAGCTCTGAAACCTAGTACTATTATGTCTGTTGTCACATTATGAATAAGGAAAGTGACTTGAAAAGGCTGAGGTGCCCAAGGTCACATGATCCATAAGAGTGAAACCCGAGCCTCATAGGATATGCCTGCTTCTTCTCCCTGGAGACAAGTGGGCAAGAGAGGGGGAAGGAGGTGGTAGACTCCATGGAGGGATACAACTGTCTTTCTCCAGGAACATGTTTCTGAAGGGTCTGATTCATCCTAGGAACACTGAGAAGAATCAGAGTCAACTAGGCCGGTTGTCACCAAGCCTCAACTCCATCAACTACTTCCATATAGTTCAAGCATAATTGGAGTTTCTCTTGCTGGGTATGAGGGGCAGTGAGAGACATCTGGGAACACACAGTAGTTTGTTCTGAGTTAAGTGCCCATTTTCTGTGTGGCCTTGACACCTCAAAACCTTATGTTTTCCCCATGTCTGTGCCTTGGTCGGCATCAGCATTAGAAGCCCAGGATGGACCCCAATTTCTTCCTCCTCACTTGGAGCCGGCTAGCTGGGCAACCCCAGTGTATGGTGACTAGGCTAACCCAGCAAGGCCATGCAACAGCCAAGAGGGTAAGGTCTTTCCTGGCTAGTCCTATTTGTTTGTCAGGCACTCAGAGGGGAAGCTGGAATTTCTAAATGTGTTCATATCCAGGAAGAGAAAACAACTCTTAAAATCACAACAGCAGCACCCATGACACAGCAGAAATGAAATCCTAGAGACTCTGCTCACTGTGCGGCCTCGCCGCGTTGGTTTGAAAACTACAGCCTGGGCCGAAAAGCCACAGGAGCCTTAGTCTGGGGATTTTCTTTGTCACCCAGCTCTTTTGCTGGTGTTCTGGCTAGCTTTTCCCTTTATAAAAAAGCTCTCTCAGCGTTGACATGCTGTGAACCGTTCTAACCATCTGTCTTGAGATTTCTTCTCTTGGGTTTCTTTCTTTCTTTCTTTCTTTCTTTCTTTCTTTCTTTCTTTCTTT